AGGGAAGCTGGAGGAGGAGGTGGCAGCCATGCTGGGGGTGTTGAGGGTGCTGCCACCCACCCGGGAGCTCCTGCAGGACCTGGGGGCGCAGGAGGTGGCGGCCATCACCAGGAGAGCGGCGCAGGACTTCACCGAGGCCTACGTGGGTACGGAGCTGGCACTGGGTCCTGGTGTCCTCTGAGCTTCACCCCCCCAAAAGTGTGAATTTTGGGGGGTTGGGTGTTCCCCGTGGCACCCTTGTGTGGGTCACGCACCACCACAAGCCTGGGGTGTCCTTATGATGGCCACCACCGTGGCCCCATGATGAGGTGACCCCAGTAGGACACCACTATGGCCTCATGGCAGGCACCCATTGGTCCCTTGGTGGACACCACCATGACCCCTTGGTGGACAGCACAGTGTCCCCAGATGGTGGTCCCCTGATGGATACACCATGTCCCCATGATGGAGACCCCGCAGGTCTCTTTGATGGCCACCACCACATCCCTGAGATGAGGCCACCCCAGTAGGACCATGGCCCCATGATGGAGACCCACAAGTTCCTTGATGGACACCACAGTGTTCCAAGGTGGTGGTGATCCCATGATGGCCCCCACCACATCCCCTAGATAAGGCCCCTCCAGTAGGACACCACCACGACCCAGCCCACGCTGTCCCCAAGCTGTGCAGACCCTCCACGTCCCAAACCGCCCCTGTGACCATGGAGGTCTTCTTCTCCCACCACCCAGAGTGCCCGGCCATCGTTCCCCGCTGCATGTGGGGTGCCCGTCCCTACCGGGGGACCCCAAAATTGTTGTCCCTCCCTTTGGACACCGTCTTCATCCACCACACCTTCATACCCAGCATCCCCTGCCAGAACTTCACTGCTTGCACCCACGACATGCGCTCCATGCAGCGCTTCCACCAGGACACGCGCGGCTGGGATGACATCGGCTACAGGTAAGACCCCATCGTCACCCAACCGTGGTCCTTGTCACCCAACCATGGTCTTCGTCACCCAACCATGGTCCTTATCACCCAACTGTGGTCCCCATCACCCAATTGTGGTCCCCATCACCCATCTGTGGTCCCTGTCACACAACCATGGTCCCCATCACCCAACCATGGTCCCCATCACCCAACCCTGGTCCTCAGTACCCAGTTGTGGTCCCCATCACCCAACCATGGTCCTTGTCGCCCAACCATTGTCTCCATCACCCAACCATGATCCCCATCACCCAACCGTGGTCCCCATCACCCATCTTCTGACCACCTCACCTTGACCCACGGGTCTTGGCAGCTTCGTGGTGGGCTCCGATGGGTACCTGTACCAAGGCCGAGGGTGGCACTGGGTTGGTGCCCACACCAAGGGCTACAACAGCAAAGGTTACGGTGTGGGCTACGTCGGGGACTTCTCCATCACCCCACCAGACCAGGACACCATCGCCTTGGTGAAGGACGGGTTCCTACCATGCGCCGTGAAGAAGGGGTGGCTCCACCACAACTACACCATTCGTGGCCACCGGCAGGTGGGTCACACAGACTGCCCCGGAGACTCCCTCTTCCGTGAGATCGAGACCTGGCACGGCTTCAAGGTGACCAACTTGGAGGTATCTCCAGGGGGTTGAGGTTTGGCGCCCACTTGGGGAGTGGTGGGTGTTGGAGGTGGCGGTGGGACCTGATGATGGCTTCTTCTCTTCTCTTCAGTGAGGATCAGGCCTGTGGGTGATGGTCTGGATTGGGTGCAGGTGTGGTCCAGGTAGGTGGGGGCACCATGGGTGCTGGTCCAGGTGGGTGGTGGCACCATGGGTGATGGTCCGGATGGATGCTGGACCAATAAGCAATGGTCTGGATGGGTGCAGGTGGACCCATGGGTGATGGTCTGGATGGGTGCAGACATGGTCCAGGTGAGTGGTGGACCCATGGGTGATGGTCTGGATGGACTCTGGTCCAACAGATGTTGGCCCAGTGGTGGCCAACCTGGATGGACCCTGGTCCAGATGGACCCTGACCTGATGGAAGCTGACCCGGGTGGACCCTGGTCCAGGTGGCCACCAGTCCCATGGTGGCCACCCCTGATGGACACTGGCCCAGAAGAACCTCACCCATGAAGGCCACTATCTTGGACAGCTCCTGGCCCCACTGGCTCATTGGACCATCCCTGTAGCCACAAACCCCCACAATAAAGTCAGTGCCAGGACAGCGGCTCTGGGTGGTCCTTGGGGAGTGAGGGAGAAACTGAGACACAGAGAGGAGGGTTCCTGGGAGGTCATGGGAGAGGAATTGAGTGAAGGAACCAAAGTGAGCACTTGTTCACTCTGAAACCTAATGATGGTGTGGTTAAGTGATGCATCCCCCCAACCCCCGCCATTCCCAGCACCCATTCACTCTGGAACCTAATGATGGCAGTTAAGCCAGCTATATGCACTCAGAACCTGCCATCTCCAGCATCTGTTCACTCTGAAATCCGTTCACTCTGAAACCTATTGATAGTGGTTAAGCCAGATATACGCACCCAGTCATCGGGGTAGCCAGACCTTGTTGTGGGGTGGCCCGGCGTGGCTCACCCGGCCCCGGCGTGTCCCAAATTCTAGCCGGGCGGGGCGATAACATCACCGGGGCAGAGGCGGAGGTGAGGGTGTGACTGAAACTCCTGCCTGGTCACATGGGGAAGCCACCACAGGAGTGCCGGGTGCAGGCAGGCAAATACCGAGGTACCGCGGGGACAGGGTGGGGGGACACGGAAAGGGAGGGGGTGACACCTTGGGGTGACACTGGGAGGGGGAGGGGGTGGCACCCTTGGGCGTTGAG